AGGAAGTATGGCAAACCCTACCGTACTATTCCTATTACAGTAGCACTTACAGCACAAAAAATTAACACAGCCAGAGTTTCACAGTATTTACCAATTGTCATGACAGAATGCTAGTGACTGACAAGACAAATTCCAGAAAAAGAAATGGCAGTTGAGTAAGAAAAAGGCTAGTTAATCAAATATAGAAAGAAATTCTATTTAACATCTGGCTAAGTAGTAATTTACTTTTATTCTAATATACAAGTTATTCGTACAAAAATAAATAAATATATTTATAGTACAAAATGGAAGAAACATGATTAGCAGGATGTACATGTTCTACACAATGAAAATAACACTGATATCCATGTCAAAACACAACAAATACAAAGTGAAGAAGAAAAATTACCTTTTCATTTTGTAATCCATCCCTTGGCCCAACTTCTACAATCTTTATGTACTCAGGCAGTCCAAATGCTTGAGATTCCTGAAATAAAAACCAATAGTGAAACACAAAACAATGAAGGTCACCAAGATCAAAGATGCAGCTTGTACTTGTCCTCTCATATGATTCTGGGTATAAAGTCATATTGCCAACATTAAGTTTGCTCACAACCTTTAAAAATCTGTGAGAACGTGTTCCACACCTTGAGTTAGGAAATAAAAGTTAAAAGCAGAAGTTATCCATGCACATGTTCCACTGCTGCTCTGAGGCCACAAATGTTTATTATAAAAATGTACATAAAACCATAAATGAACATTGTGTTTTACAGAGTGAGAAATATTCCCATTTCAAAAAGCTTCCCAACAAACAATCCAGTCCTTCAAACTTCTAATAGAATGTTCTCAATTTAACTGAACAGTTACCTCTCTATAAACGTTTGCAAGACTAGGCTATAAATCTGAAAAGAACAAAGCAGTCAAGAAATGTTGAAGAGACTATTAATGAAAGATGAACGTAATTCTTCTGCCTGAAGATGAAGATTTTAAAGAAGGATTTAAAGGAGAACAAGGAAGGCCCCTGGTAGACAAGAAGAATTTTCCAGGTGTAAGAGCAGCTCTGGAAAGCCAAGAGGTTGATGGTGACTGGAGTGAAGGAAGGCACCAGTAAGGTCAAAAGGGCTAAAGAGAGCACAGTGAGTTGGAGGGGGAGGAAGGAGAAACAAGAGCAGAAAAGCAGGTGAAGGGAAATGAAACTTCCTTTTTTATTATTTAGCTGCTCTGTTATTGAATCAAGTTGACAGGTGTGGCAGTTAATGTAACCTAGGCCTTTAAGTCCTGAAACAGTTCAAAGCAGTTGTTTAGACTGATCCCCAAAATCTGTGTGACTTTAAAAACATACCAACTTGCCAACCTGGGGCACGCTGCCTGTGTCCAGAGGATTGGACAGGAGGGATGCAGGCAGCCTTGCCAGGAACTCTGGAGACAACCTGTTTTCTGTATTACACTGAATACAGAATCCGACCCAGTGTCCCCATTCCAGTGATGAAAGCCCATGCTGGGATTAGTGTGAGCTACCTGTGTGGTGGCTGCTCCCGCTGTACCCACCACCTCCCCTGAGAGCTAAACACCACTGAAAGGACAGCTCCTGCCTGCCAGAGTCACAGCTCACCCAGCAACCAGTAGTCACTTCTGCAGGGTGTAAATACAGTCCCTAATCTCACATCATCCACAACCAGATGAAAAAGCCATTTTTCATCCCTCCCTGGCTGGTATCATCAGGGTGGTTTCAACCGAACGGCCACTAATTTCTCCAGAAGATGAGCACGCCTTCAGCACCCTTGGCTTCTCCCTGCATTCTGGGTGCCTGTGGATTAAAGTAAATTCTCTGCAGCAACAGTCGCAATACTAGCCAAAATACAATAAACATATTTCAGAGCATTTACTGTGTATTTATCTGAGCCCAGTAAAAAGAATGGGAAACAGCTGCATAGTATCCATTTGATCACGTGGAACATCTGGTGAGTTAAAACTCTGTCAGGCTGTGTTAAGCCCACACTCGCTGACAGTATAAACCTACTTAAAGTGTGAAGGTAAAACCTTCACATCTGCTGCATATTTTTTCTCTTTTTTTAAAATTATTTTCACAAATATGGCACCACTTCAGCACTAAAGGTATAAATCTGCTTTATTTCATGATTATCAGATCCTTCTTGTTACAAGACAAATGCCACAGCTGCACTATGAGTAAAACTGTGACTGGAAACAAACAAATAAATGAAAACAAAAAAAAAAGGAGCTAGAATAGATTTTGTGAACCAAAGCTTAATTTAGAGCATGAAAAATGTCCATAAAACTTTGGTGGCAAAAATGTTCAATTCCTAGGCCAAATCCTGTAAACCCTATTCAGTTCCTACTGCAGTAAAACTTTTGCTGAAATCAAAGGGCTCTACCTGTCTTTACAGAATAGTTCACACAGCTACAGCATGTGCAGTAGCTCTTCACATGGCTATTCAAGGGATGCTTGCAGCCCTGGATTTTGTAGGGGATAGAAGTCTGGAATGGGCATTACAAAAGCATTCAAGTATTGATTTTTATTCTCCACCTGTGATATTACAGGCATATAATGTCTTTGAGCCATAGTCCAGGTGTCTTACCCCCTGATTTTCTCTATAGCCTTCCTATCCATTAGTCTGTCCCAATTCAAATTCACTGTTCTTGAACATGACACTGAGAACCATGTACAGGATGATTCTCATAAGGGCCACGTAGTGGAAGCTCAAGGCAATACTACAGACATATCCTTACACTCTTTGAGCTGAGGAACTAACAGCTTTGATTAAACATCCTGTCCAAAAGAGTCCTGCTTTGCACTTAATTCCATCTAGTTTCATCTATACTGCATTGATTGCTCCTGTCTTCAAGGCGACTCAGTTCCTCCTGTGTGGTATCCAGTGGTACTGATAATATCTCTTGTCTTTCTGACATGGGGGATCTTACAACCTTGATCTTACCGTTCAGACTAGCAAGATTATCTTATTTTAACAGAAACATATTATCTCAAAAAGTTTGGGTTAGTGTTATAGAAGAAACACGTTTTTAAAAAAGACCCGAGGAACTCCACCAGCAATGTCTCTTCAGACCAATAAATGTGCTTTCACATTGTCTCTTATTTCCTCCTCAGCCAGCTTCTTACTCATCTCACAAATCCTGTTCTGATCATCATTCTCAACTTAACCAGTATTTTCCCTCATGCTGCATTTCTGAAGCTCAGATAAGAAGCAAGTAAAAGGAAGACAGAATACTTAGGTTCAGGCTCCTGTGTACTACTTATGCATTTCACAGTGCATAATCACTGAATAAAACTGAGAAACAAACTAGAGACTACAAGAGTACATGTACCATCTTCTGCTAAGATGAGTCTAGTATTTTTTCATTCCATGGCCCAAGTTGATCACAGGAGTAAAGGAGTACCTTTGCACCTTAATCACACCTGTCCTATGAATGCATACCCAGTAACTAGCTGTTAGGACAATCTTCAAAGAAGTTGGAGAAACTTACTTCACAATGCTATCGGGAAGGTAAAAGAGACTCACTGCTTTCTTGGAAAGTTTTCTGATCACGGCTTCACACTTGTAGAATGTTTGGAGATCACCTGAAACACAGCTGAAGAAGTCAACTGAGCCACCAGTCACATTGTGTCAGGTGCAATGCCATCTGCATTCACTAGCCAAGCTTCAGATACACAGAGCAGACCAAAGTCTTTTAAGAACTTATGCAGACTTTAAACACGTCTCTGTTTACCAAATGTCATTAGACCTTAACCAGGACTTGGGCTTTCTGAATTGAGGGAGTTCCCTGAACTTTAACTGGAAGATTCCAAATGTGCACCTTCCTCCTCGGCAAAAGGAAAGGTTTTCAGAACCAACAATGAGACAAAATCAGAGAATTTTGACATCTTCAAGTATGGCATTAAGTAAAGGGTCTACAGATAATAAAGTATAAATAGAAATAAATAGGAAAATTAATAATAGTTTTTATTTTTTAAGAGAATCCAAAAAAGGTGAACCTTACAGAAATGCACAAGTACTTACATTAAACACTAAACATGTCAGGTAAATAATTTTGTTTCAGAAAAAAAATATTTACTAAATTGTATTATATGAAGTAATTTTATTTAACAAAGTAGAAAAAGTAGTTATGGTAGGTATTTAGAGGTGCTTATTGAACAATATAGTAGCTCTATTTAAAAAGTAATGACTACCAAGCCATAATGTTTGAAATATCAAAAAAGTTGACATAAAAGATTCAGAGTCTGGAAAATTTGTTTTTCCATCTAATAGCCTTGCCAAGGGAGAAAAAAGTATATAAAACCACAAAAAAATGCATCCCTCAAAACGGTATGCAACCAAAGAGTCTTTTAAAAAAGATTAGAAAAAGAAAAACCATACCATTCAGGTTGAGACACCGAATGCCAAATTTCTGTATTGAAACATTTTCCCTGAGCTATAAATAGCTGAAAATTCAAGTTTATTATAGAAAATCCTAGTAACCCTTAATTAGAGCAGTATAATCAACTTAACATAACCATAAATGTAATCAAATTAAATAAACACACTCTTTTAGGCTCTGCCATTGCTACAGTACTTAAAATAAAGGTGCTGAGGTTCATTCAGCCTTCTGATTTTTATTCCATGTAGCTCATTCATATGGGCACTAACAGCACTGGCAAATATCACCCAGAGCTGCTCAAAAGTAAATGAAAAGACCCAAAAAGAGAGAAGAATCTGGAAGTCGAGGTCTTTTCAATCTTTCTAACCAAGCAAAGATGAAGCTTTGCTTCTCTTTTCCACAAGGTGGTGTTCTGGCACAGAGGACAACTGAGCAAAGTAGGTCCGTCTTGTAAAAGGAAAAATTATTCCAGAGACCAGTTTTAAATAATGATCAGGAGGGAGGCAGCATTGTAATTCCAACATGTATACATGCAGTGACATGAACAAATGCCCAAAAACTTGAAGAAGGCTCTGAGATTGTCACGGTTTAGGCCCAGTGCCTAACTGAGCACCACAATGCCCCAAAAAGGGCTAGTCAAAATAAGGACTGAGAGGGCTTCTCACCAGTTAAACAGGTCACAGGCAAAAGACAGACTCATCATAAGGAATAAAAAAAACAATTTTAATTTGTTACCAACATCAGAGTAGAACAATGGGAGATACAACCAGATCTTAAAGTCAAAACCTTCTTTCTGGGCTCAGCTTTTGTTCCCGGTTTTCTTCACCTTCCCCCTTGAGGCACAGGGGGATGGGAGTGGAGGCTGCAGTCAGTTTTCACACCATGTGCTTCTCAGGAGTAGGAAAACTCGACCCAGTGTCCCTCTCTGCTTCCACATGGCCCCCTTTCCACAGGGGAAAAAGTCCTCAGAAGTCCAGTATGGGTCTGCCCACAGCTGCAGTTTCCCTCACACACA